ATTTTCTTTACTTTACCGTCACTTCCAACTAAACAACCCCTAAATCAAAAATTACTAACTAAAGATAAGATTTGTTTCTCAAACATTTCAATAAAATAACAAAATGAAGTCAGTAAAAAAGGTAATTCCAAATTGTCGATCTCAATAAGTTAAATCTATCAGCAAATGAAAGCAACTTTTGTTTCCAAAGTCCAATCACTAAATCAAACAGGCATTATATTCATAATTTGAGAGAATCAAATACCTTAAATTTGGAGGAGCTAAGAGTAATATAAAATGATCCCAACAAAAAGTTTATTATAAGATCCACTGATTTACTAGATTTGCATATTATTATTCAAATCAAATGTGGCACAGAAATTACGGTTGACATGGGTCGGCAGTCGATGGTGGTCGATGGGACTATAGTCGACGGTCGAGAGTGGAAGGAAATCTGACGGCAGCAAGCTACTGGGCGAAGATCCGGAGATCGACAAATGTGTGGTGGTCTGGTGATGGTCGATGAACGAGAGGTTGTCCAGAGATGATCGACGGTCGATTGGTGGTTCGGCGGCCAAGCGGTGGTCCGACGTTGGTTGAGCTAAGGTCTAGTGGAGATTGGGGTTTGGCGGTGGTCCGACGAAGATTAGCAGCCAGGCGGTAATCCAATGGTGATCGGTGGCCTGTCAAAGGTCCAGTAGTGGTCGACGGAAGTTCGTCGGTAGTGGTGCTTGAGTAGAACTCTAGGATCTTTGAAGCATTAGAGCTCTCTCTATTCTCTAGCTAAAGATCCAAGTTCCCCACCCCCTCTTCATGTGGAAAATAAGGGCTCATTTATAAGTTTTTTGAAGTGGCATCATCGTAAATATGGAGAAGATTCAGAGCAAAATCGAAGTGGTCGATCAGACTGCTCATATTGATTCCCTTAATTATAGAGCGTTCATTAAACATTTAAGTGCCTTAATGATGTCAGAATTAGGCAATCTTGTACTCATTGATCCATCTCGTTGAGCCGCTCGATTCGTCTATAAACATGCCATATTTGGATTTCATTTGGCTATCCATTTAATGCTTTAAACCTTCTAAATGTGAATTGGTCCCTTGATTTGGATCCAATTGGGCTTAGATTGGACTGATTTTTGATGTCGTTGGATTCATCTCATTGAGATATTCAATTTGACTAGAAATTTGTTGAAATTGGCATTCTAGTGGTCAAGCATTTAATTTTGGAAGTTTCCAATTTGAATATTCCTCGAGATTCATGCTAGATCAAGGCCATTTTTTGAAGAATTATCAAGTCTATCTAATTCCAAAATAAAATTTTATGTATACTAAGAGGGGTTGCATTACTTAGAATTTGACAGAAAAGGGATTTGAGTTTTTTTATTGGGTATTTTGATATTTAACTGTAAGTTTTAAAATGGAGGTCTGAGAATGATAAATTTGCAAATAATTAAAATTTAAATATTGTGTATGTATTTGTCATATTTATAAATGGATCAATAAAAATTAAAAGAGCATGAATACTATTTTTAAATAATATAATTTTATAGTAAAAATTTTTTGTGATTAAGAAAAATAATATTTATTCCATTTTATCTTTCTCTTCTCACTATGGGATAGTAAAGCATCCCCATCATAGTTAGATTGCTTTCCACTATGGGTGTCAAAATTTGACATAACGTGAAACCTAACCCAGAGCCGACCTGAAAAATTTTGGTTTCAGGTCAACCTGTTGGCCATATGGGTCGGGTTCGGATTTGAGATTCTGACCCGTTTATAAAACCGGGTGGAGTTCGAGTTGGCCGCACCGCGCGCGCACAAACTACATGGCGCTCGGCAAGCCACAGGCCCATGTCGCCCTCCACACCTATTTGCGCTTGCCTCGCCCACACCGCACTTGCCAGTCCCTTACGTGCACGTCCTGCAAGCCTCGTACTCGCTCACCGCGCCCAATTTTGAATGGTTGTCCGAGTTAGTTGGTCTTGTCGAGTCAACCCGGTAACTCAATGGATCAGGTAGAGTTGAAATTTCCAACCTATTTGCAAACTAGAGTTGGGGCTAGGTCAACTAGTTTGAACCCAAGTCAACTCCATATCTGATCTGAATCCGACCCGAAAATCCATTTTAACACCCCCTGCTTTCCACCACCAATCCAAATTTTTTGTTCTTCTGTCAATGCTAAGTACCAAATCTCAATTTTAAAAAAAAAAAAATCACAGCCTCTTCAGAAAAGCGCATGCCAAAAATTAAAATCTATTTCATATTAAAAACTGAAAATAAAACATGGTGAGTTCTTTGTGAGATTATTGAAACGTAGTTATCATCATAAAGTGTTAGATCTTGATGATCGTGAATGATATACAATGTGGACTTCCTCATCAAGCTTTTGTTGTTTGGTTGGTAAAGAGCCTTTACATGTATTTAACTTTTAGAATAAATGGAGCTTGTGCTTTTGTGTTTTTTGTGTGGTCTAAGAATTCTTGTGTTGGAAGAATATGTTTATATGATCATAAAGTGGAAAAATTATTCTGTGCGGAAGCGGAATCCATCCGGATTTCTAAGCCCGCGGCTTGGTACTACTCGGTGATGCTGCTCGGTATAATTGACATGGCTCATTCTGATTGATATCCGGATGTAGAGCTACATTTGGCGTCCGCACGGAATAATTGAGACTTATGAGAAATTGACAAGTATAAAAGAAATTCTATTCAACAATGCAAGTTTAAAGGGTAAATAAGTTTAGATTTACACATAAGGTTTCAGATATTCAAAAAAGGTACGCCTAAACCATCTTATCAATAAGTTTAATGGTTATAATACAGGATATCATCCAGAGCATTCTATCCACTCTATTGTTAAGCCAAAAATTACTAACTAAAGATGAGATTTTTTCTCAAATCTTTCAATAAAATGGCAAACTGAAGGCAAAGAATCAGATGCCTTAAATTTGTAGGAGCTAAGAGTAATATAAAGATGAAACCAACAAAAGTTTGCTAAGAAATCACCTGATTTCATAATTTTGCAGCAAGCATTCAAATCAAAGGTGTCGTAGAATGCAACACATCTTGATATGTTGGTTTGGCGTTTTGACTATCAATTAAGAAGTCTTGAAACGGGTGTCAAAATTTGACCCAACCCGAAACACTGACTTGGACTCAACCCAGAAAAGTTCTAAGTTTGGATCAACTTGTTTATCCAATGGGTCGAGATTGGGTTTAAAAACTTGACATGTTTTAAAACTCGAGTCAAGTTCGAGTTGACCTGAGAACCTAACTTTGACCCAAATTTAATTAAATTGTTTCAATATTTGTATAACAATGTAAATTTAAAATTGTAATGTATACTAGTATTTAGTAAATGTAGTTTATGTTTGCATTATTTTTTATAAAATTCAATGTAAACAAATAATTTCATTTAACAATTCATTTTAATATTTTGTAAATATAATTTGCGTTTGTTTATATTTGCTCAAATAATCTAATAATTATATGTATTTTACTATTTTGCACTTTAATAAATTTATTTAAATTAATAAATTTATTTAAATAAATTTGAAATATAAAAAAATGCCAAAATTTGATTAGAAAATCGAGTTGGCCGGTCATTTCGGGTTGACCCGAACCTGACATGTTTGAACACGAACCAGGTCGAGTTCGGGTTCAAAATTCCGACCAATGTCCATAACCAAGTTAAGTTCAAGTCGGGTCAGTTGGAAGCGTGGGTCAAGTTCGAGTTGGGCCCGACCGATCCAAAGACCGAACCTGACATGTCTGAACACGAACCAGGTCGAGTTCAGGTTCAAATTTCTGACCCATGTCCATAACCAAGCTAAGTTCAAGTCAGTGTCAGTTGGCAGCGGGTCAAGTTCAAGTTAGACCCGACCGATCCAGAGACCCATTTTAACACCCCTAAATCTTGAGTTTGAAGCCTACATTTATATATATAATGTGTGTAAATTTACCTTAATTGATATAAATATCCCAAAAAATAATTGCACAAAGAGCAATGGCTTTTTTTGAACAACGAGGTGGCGGTGGAGATGATGATCGTCGGCGATGCTCAAGCAAACTTTAGAACAGTGTAAAAGGTTCTGAAGCAAAACTAGGTGAGAACAATTTACTTCAAAAATAAACTAGAATGAAATATATTATATTCACTTTACTTTATTATGAATTTGCTTTCTATCTAACCAAAAAATTAAGCTTCTAAAAACCCCTGCATTTACGTTACTTTACACTCAATTTACTTCCAACCAAATAACCCCTAAACCAAAATAACTAAAGAGATGAGATGTTTTTTCTCAAACCTTTCGATAAAATAACACAACGAAGTCAATAAGAAATGTAATTCCAAATAGTCGATCTCAATAACTAAAATCTCCCAGCAAATGATATAGCTGCTTTTGTTCCCAAATTCCAATCACTAAATCAAACTATCAATTATATTCCTTATTTTGACAGAATCAGATGCCTTAAATTTGGAGGAGCTAAGAGTAATATAAAGTTGATCCTGACGAAAAATTTGCAAAGAAATCTCCTTATTTCATCAATTTTCAGCTCAGTATTCAGATCAACAGTTGCACAGATAGCAGTTCGAAATGCATTCAAAGCTCATTTTAGGCTTCGTTTGGGGCGGATTTCTTACTGCTTATTTTAATTTTTATACTAAAATAGTTAATTTAAGAAGCAATAAGAAAGACGTCCCAAATGAAATATTTGATAAATTTTTGATTAATAATTATCCTAATTTTATTAAGAATAATTCAGAATAATAATTACTTAAAATATCATAAAAATCATAGCTATTTAAATAAGATTACGATAAAATAATAGTAATTAATATTAATTCATTAAAAAATTAATCATACTTTAAAATTTAAGAACAAGTTAAAAAATTAATGAGGACTTAGACGTTATTGAAAACCATGCAAGAGAGACAACAAAGGAAAAGACCTGCTGTGACTTCTCATTAAAAAAACGACAGGCTAAAATCTTTTCTCCACTGCAGCAACACAGCAATCATACAAGCAAAGCCACGACAATGGCAATTCCCTGAAAGCCCGAAGTCCACAGTGAACTTACCCCGAAATAGCAACAATTTTCTACCTCATTACCATCCAAAGAAGAACTGATTCTACCATCACCATCTTCTACTGCGCCTCTCTTTCCTCCATTATCAATGCCGGAACCCAAACAAGCAGCTGCTTCAAGTCTCACCGAAGCCTCTTCATACTTGTCGTTTGGCTTTGCACATAAATCTTTATTTCCCCTCAAATCCAATCTCTTCCCCAGCCTCCTCACAAACTCCACAGAGAAGCCAATCTCTCCACTCAGCTGGTTCTGGCTAAGATTGAGCTCACCCAGATTTGAAAGTAAGTCCAAGCTATCAGGAACTGTTCCATTTAAGCTGTTGTTATCAAGTGACAGAGCAGTGAGGCTTTCCAGAGAGGCGAAGTATGGAGGGATTGGCCCCATTAGGCCACACCCTGAGAGCCCAATCACTGTCAGCTTCTTCAGACTACCGAGAAAAAATGGAATGCTGATGTTGAAGGGGTTGTTCTCCATTATCAAATACTGTAATTGTTTCAATCCTGACAGTTCCTCCGGCAACGGTCCACTCAAGTTGTTATGGCTAAAATCAAGCAAAACTAACTTTTTGAGCTCCCCGAGCTCGGGAGGAACCCTCCCTGAAAGATGGTTGAAGCCGAGATCAATCTTTTCTAGAGACTGGAGACTCCCAATTGAAGCAGGAAGCTTACCACGCAGCTGATTTGAGGAGAAATCTAGTATGCTAAGGCTTGAAATCCGGCCGATTTCTTCCGGGATTTCGCCGCTGAGGTGGTTATAGCTGAGGTCTACCTGCTGTAATGCTCTCAATCTCCCAATCTCTCGCGGAATGACGCCATGGAAGTTGTTCTGCGGGAGGCTGAGAACTCTGAGTCTCTGTAGGCTGGAAACAGAGGAGGGTATTTCGCCTGAAAGACCGGGGTTTCCGTTGAGGACGAGGCGTTCTAAAGCGGGAGTGCTGGTGAAAAGGGATGGAGGGAGAGAGACGGAGTTGGGGTAAAGGAAGCAGGAGAATAGAGAGAAGGTTTTGAGGAATGGGAGGTGGAGGAAGGAGGCTGGGGAGAGGGAAGCAAAGGATTTGCAGGGAGGAGGTGAGAGGAGGTCAGGGCCGATGTGTATGGAGGTAACGTGGAGCAAGTCGGCATCTGAAATGTCGGACTCGCATTGAATGCCGGGCCAAGGAGTGTCTGTGCACGGGTGAGGGTGGAGCTCGGTCCAGCTGGAATCGGCCAGGAGCGAGCCGACGAGGTCAAGGAGGGCGCTGTGCTCATCGGCGTTCATGGAGTTTTCGTTGGACACCGATGAGCAAGTGGTGAGGAGAGAAAGGAGGACGAAGAAGAGAGTGGCCATGGAGCGAACGTTAGAAAAACACAAAAGAGGAAAATGGTAGAGATCGTTAAAAGATGATGGGTTGAGGCCGAAGCGATGGAAGTGACAAGAGCTGGCTTTTCTGATCTCTTTTTCTGTGTAGTCTATATAACAATTAAATATATTAAAAATAAAAAACTTTGATGTTTTGATGTTGAAAATTTAAAACTTTGATGACCTGATATTAAAAATGGACAAACAGGGAGGTGTGGCGGTAGGGCTCTTCTGGTCTGGCGTACTACAGAAGCAGGAATGGCGGAAGGAGTGTGGAGCAGGTTGATGAGACTGTTCGTACCAGTCGATGCAGAGAAGGGTGATGATGAAGCTGCTGTAAGTTTTTTTTTTTAATATATTTGAGACATTAAGACATATAAATTAGTAGTTAAACACTTAAACTTCTCAATTAAGGGATCAAAATGAGCTCTCTATATAATTTTAATGATTAAAAAAAAAGTACCGTCGAAGGGGAGAACACTGTGGCGTTGATGCACCATGCACCTGTTCATTTGCTTTGGAAGCCATGGGGATCCCCTCAAGCTCAGGCTAATTGCCCCCAAAAAAAATTAAAATTTTTTCATTATATTATTTTTTTAAAGATTATTTTTCAGTTTTTTCTTTCTTCATTTATATTTTAGTCTTTATTATAAAAATTTTTAGATAATTATCCTCCCTAAAACTTTTAAAATATTATATTCTTTAGACAATTGCCCCCAACATAATTAAAAATTTTATATAGATGTGTAATTATTAGGGAACAATGACCAAATAAAAAAGAAATAGTAAAAAGAATTTATCATTTTATTTATTAATTTGAATTCTAAAAATATCCATACAATCAAAATTTGTTCCCATAGTAGCGCTCCTGGAAACCTCGCAAGGGCACTGTCCCTTGACCCCGCAACCTGATCGGGCAAGTCGAACCCGGCCAGGGGCGCTGCCCTCTTGAACCCTTGGTATATCTATGAAGCGTACGACGATTAAGAATATGAACAAATAGAGGTCAAGCCAAATTCAAGGCAACTTCAACATATATTTTGTAGAAATTGAATGATTAATCATTTTTAGCGGCCGTTTTCTTTTTCTCTATTTTTTTGTTTTGAGTCGACCGGCACCAACAGTTACTTAAAATTTTGCCCTCTCTGAAAATTAAGGTTGTGCCCTTGTTTGAAGCTATGCATGGAATAAAGCTAAATTCAAAAATCTATGGCTTAACTATTAGAATTAAATGCTTCATAATAGAAAAGAAATAATTGGTGGAAAAAATTAAATAAATTTTTTTATAGAAATTTCTGTTGGAAAACTTCGTTGTAAATATTCAGTTGAAAATCTGAAAAAAAAAAAAATATTGAAATCAGAAATATTCAACATAATTTTATTGAAATTTTCATAGAAAATTTTTAATAGAAACTTTTAAGAGAAATAATTTATTGAAAGCCCCGACTCATATAATAAACATTAAGTATTGATACCTTCAATCTCATTTTACTTGGGACAAATCATCTCATTTTGGAGAAGGTTGATATCACAAACATCACTATCTTGATTCTTCCTAATAAAAGTAAAGGGATAACCCCATTTAAATAATAAAAAAAAAAACCAAAACATTGAAGTTGGGAATAATAAAGATTAAGAGTCTATTTAGGACGGTTTTAATTTTTTTAAAAAAATATTATAAAATTGTTATAAAGAAAGTGACTTCTTTAAAAATTATTGTAGAATTAAAGTAGTTTATTATTTGTTAAAAATAATAAAAAAATAGTTGTTAAATAAAAATTATGACTGTAAGCTAAAAACAAAGAAATAAAAAAATTCTCCTAAAAGAAATCTCAAACTCTCATAATTTCATAAATTTAAGAAAGATTTTGGACCTTCGCTAGGAGCAATTAAATTGTAGTTGAAAAGCAAAATTGTAATATCCTAAATTCCCAGTGTGTATAGAGACCAGGAAGAGATATCCTATATCCTTCCTTAGTTCCCATTCTCATGGTTGGGAGTTTGTTGGAGCTAGCTAAACAAGAAGAAGAAGCAAGCTCTTAAGTATGACAAATCTAATGCCACCCACTACAGGAAAATCATCTATTCCGACAGAATTTTTCCGACGAAAATTGAGCACTTTCCGACGGTTTTTGAATTTACATAATGGATTTCTCTTGCTTCAACATTTCCAAGGCAAGGAGAGTATTGTGGAGCTTCTAGTTGTTTTCCATATCTTATAGGCAACTTCCATAGCACCTTAATTGGCTAGTGCATCGTTAAAATTTTGATCCTAAGAACAATCTAGTGGTAGCTAGGAAGGGGAACACTTGTGGGAACCCTATAAAAGCTATTTGACAGGTTGATCATAGCCCAATAAAAATAACAACTCAATTGTTCTAAGCCCTTCTTTATGGCTGAATAGCATGAAATTATAATCTCCATTACCTGAATATCATTCCATCTTTTGATAATATCTATCATGTTAATAATATTTCATAACTTATATAAACATGAAAGAAAATTAGTGTCTCAAATATTATTTTTTTTATTATTTTTGAAAATTTTAAATGAATTAAATGCATACATACGCACAAATCACGTATGTAAACTTCAAATACAAGACCCTCTTGGTCATGGGTGGAACCAGCTATCTTTTGAGGGTGGTCAAACTCTTTTCATGAATATATATATATATATATATATATATATATATGGCTGTCAAAACCGGATCACGGGTCGGGTTCGACTCTAACCCGAAATTGACCCGACATTGTTCAAACAGACCCGAACCTGACCCGTTTTGCAAACGGGTCGGTTTTCTGAACCCGAACCCGACCCGCTTCGGGTCCGGGTCAACCAGAACCCGACCCGATTCGGGTATATTTTATTAAGTTTTTTTATTTAATTCAATTTATTTAAATCTAAATCAAATTAAGGTAATATTTACTTCAATTAATTTAAAATAAATCAAGATTGAATTAATTTGGGCAATAATGTTTATAATTTTTTGAAATATCATTTACTTATTTCATAAAAATCCATTAAAACCCTCCTAAATTAATTAAAAATGGGTCAAACCGGGTTGATTTCAGGTTTCCGGGTCAACCCGAACCCGACCCGGTTTTACAAATGGGTAGAAATCCCTAACCCGAACCCGAAATTTTCAGGTCGGATTTTTGAGTCGGGTCAAATATTAACACAGCTATATATATATATATATAAGTTCAAAAAATACATGATTTTATCGCTTCCTCTATAGTTCCCAACATAGGTAAACAAGTGTATTCAATGAAAAATCAAAATACAGTTGCTCCTATACAAATTCAGATCATAGTAATTTTCCAGCCAAGCCAACATTTATATTTAATTTGTGCTTTTATTCCCATTCTCAGTCTCAATTTTCAATAACATCAGAAAAATTTTAAAAAGTGATCAACAAGCTCACAGACTAACATGCTTACATGCATGGAAAAAAAAACTTCACGCCTTTTCTTACAATGTTTAAATGTCAAAAACCAAAATTATACATCAAAACATGTAAATGGAGTATTAATTCTTTCATGAATTCTTCTAAAATCTCAATAGTAAATAAAGAACAAGAAAAACTGTCATTAGGGTGAAAAAAATAACTCGTATGTTGAAGTTAGTCGTCGTCAGAACAGCTGCAATGGCTTTCTGTGTGCGTAAGGGAAGGAGCTGTCAGCCATTAATCTCGCCTTCCTCTTCTGAAGAAATCTCTGTAACGATCTCTTCATAGAAAGTCCTGGCTGAAGCTCCACCGTCTCTCTTGCAATTGCCACTTCGCCTTCCTCTTCCTTACTATACTTGTTTTTCTCCATCTCATTCTTTGCCATGTCCATAATGGCTCTTGCCTATCATCATAAAAATTTCAAGCTAAATAAAGTTTAATCAAACGAAATAAGATCATTTAATAAAAAAAATACGATAATTATTTCTACTGTCGAGATAATCATTACATTAGAAAACTTCTAAAACTTGAAGAGGATTCTTCTGTTTGCTAAAATGGCAAGCAAAGATTCTTAAAGTTGATATGTGGTTTTTTTTCTATTTCTGAAGCAGATAGGTTTGGAGAGGAAGAGCAAATGGCAAACCTGGAAGTTAGTAACGTTGCAGACGGAAATTCGACCGTTGTAACAGATAGTGATTTGCCGTGATGGTTCTTCTAACCTGCATCAGTTGATTCCTTCATTCAAATGAAGCCATATATACAAAAACTTAGTCCACCAAATCACGAACTATTACAATGAATCATTTATATATATAATAACTATAATCTTACTTGACATTACCGTATTTTTTATATTAAAAGTATTATTATAAAAATATTTTTTTGTTATAAATAAATCTATTAAAATAAGATAATACTAAATTAGTTGTTGTCCGATTGAAACTTTTTTTTACGGCCGTCAAAATTAAATTAGGAGAGTTTATTATGTGTAGAGATGGAATATAAAGAACCGTTCGATTTTGTCTTCACGAATAGTAAAAGCACAATGATAAGCACTTTTACTGTTCATAGAAACAAATCGGACTACTCTATATCCCCTCTCCGCGTATAATAATTTCTATCATATAGGAAGAATTATTCTGTGCGGATGCCAAACACCGTCTAGAGCTCAATGAAAATGAGTCACGTCACCCCTTACTCGATACCGCGGCTCGGTACTGCTCGATACAAAGCACGATGATATGGTTGCATCTGATTCATCTTTGGACGATAAGCTACATCCGGTGTCCGCAAAGAATAATCTCTCCCCAAACAGACTTTTAATTTGCTGTTTTTTGAACTGTAAAACCATATCCTCACAAGCATCAATAGGACAAATGTAGACATTGACTTACAGCTGCTTGGCGGAGTCCGCATGGCCGGAGACGGCGACGTCCGCGCCGTGGCAGGACGGGGACAGGTTATAACCAAGGCTACCAAGTTTTAGCTCGAGCGGATCCACCGCCGCCTCATGAACAGCCATGAAACTCTCTTTGATCTCCATCCACTTCTCTCTCTCTCTCTCTCTCTCTCTATCTGTCTCTCCTTGCCTTTGCTAGTATGAAGGATAAGTGCTGCTATGTATTGTTATTTGTTTGGCTCTTCTTATGAAGAGATATGAGCTGGTTTTGGTTTAATAAGCGCGTTTGGTAAGGGGAAGAAGAAAGCAAGAAAGAGACGGCGAGGAAAATTGGAAAGAAATCGATAGGGGAGAGTAAAAGGTGCACGTGGACCACGCGCTTGCCGTGGGCAGACAAAGAAAATCCCCAATTTGGTGCGGTGGAGATCGCGGAGACGACTCCGCGGCACCCGCGCTTAGGTCTCGTGTTTTCCTGATTCCATAAAGCGGTTGATTAATGTATCTTTGCCGACCGACGATTTATTTTATTATTATTTTTAATTTTGCATGAGTTTTTCAACAATTTTTTTTAAAAGGAGCATGTATTAATTAAATAAGAAATAAAAGTAAAATATTAAAAAAAAAATAAATCAGCTAAATTATTTGATACATTCTTTAGGATGCATCAAATAATTTTGACTAATTTTTTAGAATGTGTCAAATCATTTAGTGTATT